TCATTGTTCCAAAAAAATGATATTTTACCCAAATATGAAGGGGGTTTTAATCCATCAAATATATTTGGCAAAGTAACAGAAACATTTTCTCTATAAAGCAATCCTCTTACCATCACTTTCTTCCCAGCATTTGTTACACCGATTCCATGTCTTTTTACTGCAGGAAATCCAGATCCTCCTTTCCTAGAAATATATAAATCCATTTTTTTGACAAGCATCTTACTAATACTGCTATAGTAGGATTTAGGATCAATTAATGCTAAAACAGTTACTTTATTATTAACAAATGTATAATCCACCATTAATCTTTTGCGAATTTCTCGAAGCGCCTCATCTTTCCATATATTATTTATAGTACAACATTTTTTAAGATCCTGTATCGATAGATTTTTAAAATAAATGGTATTAGTTTCAGCATAAACTGATCAAGTAAATTAGCTGTATACATTTTATATGGTTAGAAGATTTTCAAAATCAGTAAAACATTCTGATTATTTCGAATTTTGTATCAATACCATATGGCCATATTTCCTATTGAAGTTCCTTAGCATCACATGGTAATTCTATCAGGCTTAAAATTTGTGAGAGGTAAAAAGCATTGGATTGTATAAATACATGGAATAATGATGCTGGATTTCTTATGCTATGCAAATTATACACAAATTTCTTAAGTATTTTTTCTCTCCAATGCCTAATTGCTTTTGTATTCCAATATATTTTAATTTCACAAAAAAGATCTTCCCAGTCTTTCCACTCAGGTGTAAATTCAGAAATCCCTTCATTATCCATTCATATTTCAATCCATATTCTTTGATAAATTCATTGTAACGTTCTTCTGTCTCAGCATCTATCTCATCATTTGACATTTTTCTAATAGATCGATCCGGGCTATACTTAATAAAAAATAAAGTACTGGTTAGCTTCTTTTCGGTATATGAAAAAATTATTATATATGTCGCACAAATTGGTCTTGTGATCTGCATATTTTTGTGGCTTAGTAAATTCTTCCAAGCTGATGATTTCTGCTTTGAATCGGCCTAAATGAGGATAGATGAACAATCATCTGCAGAGTCTTGAAATTTAACTGATGTATAGCCTGTTTGTTTAGCCAATCTTTAATCTCTGCAAGAGTAAACTTATATCTAATCTGATCCTAGAGAGACCTCTTTTTACAAATATCTCACATTTTTTCAGCGGTTTGATAAAAACCTTCAGGCTGATAATACAACTTTTTGAATATGAGATCTTGATATAGAAGTTGTTCTCTTTTAGATCTTTTAAACAGTTTGAGACTGACTTCTTTTTTCCATATATCATTTATGCTATTACAATTATAGAGATCCTGTAT